CAATGTGAAGTGCATAGGGGCTTTAGGCATTAAGCGCTATATAAGACTGACATATGTGGCAAAGACAAGCCAAAGCAGTCACTTGTCGCAAAAATCAATTTTGAGTTATTAATACAGGGTTAAACAGTAAAGTAAGAGCTATAGAATGGTAAAAGAATCATTTAAATCCGACATTTCGTTATGAAGTTACAGGAGTTTAAACATACAGCTGTTTCAAAAACAATTACTTGAAAAATCAGCCTTCAAAGTTTACGATTTCGGGAATTTTTTTAGGCAGAAACCATCAACAGATCGTTAAAAATTGTTGTTTTACCATTGAAAATGGGGAAAATAACAGCATAGCATGATGTGTAGGTATATAAATGTTAGTTTAGTGCAATAAAATAGATTTCCAAAATGTTGACATTCGAGGATGTTTTGGCCATTATCTCCAATATAGGATTTGCGATGAGTGACTGGTTTGACTTATCTTTGCCACATATTATTATTATTATTTTTATTATTATTATTATTATTATTATTATTATTATTATTATTATTATTATTATTATTATTGTGTTTTTTGTTTTTTTTAATTTATTTATTTTATTTATTTTTTTTTTCTGTACTGTCTTCATTATGTGGTTAAATGTGATGATGCATCTCCATTTGTTTCTGTCTTGGGCAGTTAGTGTTGCTGTGTAGGGAGTTCTTATCTTAGATGTTCCAGGAGGTTCTCTGTTTTGCATGTCTTTGGTTTTTCTGTGTAGTACTGCACCTTTCCTAGCCAGATTTCCTACAGTACTTTTTTGCAACGAGGCTGGGGTTTTTCCCACAGTAGCGTTAGTTTTGTTATCATTCCATACATTTAGTTTGCTGTGACTTACAAGATACTACGGTAGAACCAAAGCTCAAATGTTGTGATCTTTTGAAATCTTCCTTCTTAAACTCCAGGCTTCATATCCATAGGTGGTGGCTTTAGGGAATTTGAGTGTGTTGTTTTGTTTTGACTTGGGCTCAGTAAATATAATCATTGAGAAGTGTCTTAAACTTTGCTTCTTGATTTAAGCTGCCTACTGATCTATCCCCTTTCTAGTAACTTTATGGCTTGTGCATGGTACTTGTGCTAACTCATTGGCATGGGCCAAAGATTCAAGTTGTATACAACTGCATGACCCTGTTTATCTGTTCGTTTGAGTACACAATGAATATCCTTTTATTATTATTTCAACATTTTTGCTAATATTCATTTCAAGTTGTTATATGGCTTTGGAAAAACCTTAAATAATTAATCATCTAATTGTTTTAACTGATAGTCCATTTTACATATTAATTTTTTTTTAAATACTGTATTACATTTATTTACATATTCTTACTGTTTTTAACCAGTGTGAAACAATCATTCAAAGGATTGGTCTCCCTTGCAGCTTTTTGCATTTACAGTACATCATGACATACAAAAATAACAACCAAACAATTTTGAAACATTCATATAGGTTAATAAGAACATTTTCCATGTAAACATTTTAAAAGCATTTGTAATATAGTCAATTAATTGTCTTGTTGTTTGCTTTTCTTTCAGTTCAAAAGAGAGCAAAGTTAACAGACAAGCAATTGGACCGTGTGCGACAGGTTATGCAAATTTTAGTATGAGAAATTACGTGATGGAGCATCATTTAAAATTACCATGGTAACCATATGAGGATTGCCATGCCAAAATGAGCATCAGTGACCAAAACAAGAAAATTGACTTTAATATATTTATATTCTCCACATTATAAACTTTAAATTGATAGGTCATTTATTATTAATAATTGTAATCATTTTATTACAAATTAAATACATTAAATTTTATGGCGAGTTAAATGGTCGAGCGGTTAAGGACTATACCAGTGGTACACAATTTGGCTTATGTGTACTTTAAAAAAAAACCAGTACCTCTTTTGAGATGAGTTAGGGGTTACCCTGTGGTTACCGCAGTGTACTGGCCCATACAGCCTCTGTTGTGGACAGACAAATACTAGTTTACCAGGTAACTCAGACATGAAGAGACCGTTAGGGGAGAATAAAGTTATTGTATGAGCTTAGCTAGCCTACAACTCGAGCTGTGAGATTCTGGTATAATACACTATATAAATCCAATTACATTACGTAATAATTTAATTTCAAAAGATATAGTTTTAATGGTACTGTACACTTTTTCCCCATAGATAGTTAATATTTGTCCTCATATCCCTTTCAATTTTACTTCTGCCTTTTCAAAAATACACTGATATACATGTTCATCAAAATATAAACAATTGTATAAACAGAATCAAACTGTTAAAACCATCTTTCTTGCAAAAAAGAACTCACCAGATTATGGATAATGACAGCTGTAAATAAAACATAGAAAATGGTGGATATTAATTATCAAAGAAGAAATTTCAAAAAATATGTTATACTAGTTACAATTATTAATATTGCAAACTTCAACATGAGTTATTTTATTTCTATATCAAGTTAAAATTTGATCCAAATTGAAGTGAATGAATACTGTTTATCATTATGATATGGATTGTTGCTTTACTTTATTTATTTTTTACTAGCATGCAGATAAACATTCATACATGCTGAATCATGATGGTGATGACAAGAATAATGATGGTGGTGGTAGTGATATGATGATGATGATGATGGTGATAATAATAATGATACAGCGAGACTTTTTTTATACCTTGTTTATAGTGAACCCGTCGACTGCAAATATTGATGATTTCAAATAAAAATAAAATTTTATTTTTGGCCAATTAGCACACCCGCTCTCACGAAAAAGTGGGAATTTCAGGGGAAAAAAAAGATTTTCTTTATTTTTATTATGCCCTCCGCTGCCTTGAAATCACCAAAGATAAGATATGTATATTTCTTCCTAATTATACAAATTTGAAGCATTTTCCATCCTATTTTACATTCACCAATAAAATTTTATTTTATTTTTTCCTCCGTCTGGATGTTTTTGACAAAACTATTTGCTAAATAAGAAAACAAAATTTTATTTTTATTTTTATTCCACCCTCCTGCGATGATCTTCAAAAAAATAAGTACACGCAACAAGGAATAAAAAAAAAGTCTTGTCTAAGAATGATGATGGTGGTGATTGTAAGAATGATGATGATGGTGATAATGATGATAAGAATGATGATGATGATGATCATTTTTTTATGAGTATTTTTTATTTGGTGACTAGTACAGTTATGTGAAGAATTAGTGTAGCTTGTGGTTCCCATTCTCATCCATCAGGATGATTATAATTTGAATTTGACTGATTTTTATGGGCGGGTCAAGCGGTAAGACAGGGGCACTGCTAACTACAGCCGTTAACAGCAATGCTGGTTTGAGCTGCTCCTCGCCCAGCGTTCAGTTTTTAGATACAAAGTCTTCTCGGATCCGGTGGTCCAGTGTACACATCTGGCTTGTTTAAAGAACCCATTGCATCTTTTGTTCATTTGTGCCCCTGTTGTTGTGGAATGTTATGAACTAGGTAGTCGCAGACCGCATTTTAGCGCAATGGCGCTGCAAGTTATGGGTTATTCTGCTACTTTAACTTCACTATTACATAGCATTTTATTTTAAAAATTCTTGTCCACTGCTGTTTTTGTTCTTGTTACCAAAATTTAAAAGCCTTTAGCGTTGCCAGTTTTGAAGGGCCGTGCAGGAAATTTTGTACACAAACTAGAGGTGATTTCCATCATTTTTTTTCAGTTGGACCCCAGGTTCCCCTTCACCTACAAAACAAAACAGGGGTTTCAGCAAGGACTGTACATACCGCCATTACCACTAATAGGACACGTCGCATGGATCGCACAGTCGGTTATATTAAGGATGTGTTTTAAAAAACTTAAGGTTGTGAGTTCGAATCGCGTCTTGATATTCAATATTTTTTCAAATTTAAAGAAATTTTATTTTTTTCAATTTTAAGATATTTTATTTTTGTACAAATAAATATTCTAGATAATAAATGTTTGTACAAATAAATATCCTAATTATTTAAAACTTCTATCTTATTAGCTCTTCCAAAAAACCCAATAATAACTTGCGCCTGTACTGTATTTAAGCGTGGAGGAACTCGCGGACTGGTGAGTGGTCACTTTTGTTCAATATGTGACAATAAAACAAAATTGGTACTAAACATAACTTTTTAATCAGTAATTAATTTAATGAAAGTCATTCATAAATAATATATACAGAATATTGTTACTAATACTGTTTCAAGAGACACTCAAGAGTTTAATAATAATTAATATTGCACACTATGCTAAATTGTATTTATTAAATATCTTTCTCACATTAATTGGTGCTAATTTTGGGACCATTTATTAACTTGCTAAACTAATATAATACCTCAATACAAAACAATATAAAGAAAGAAATGTTCTATAAATATCTCACTACAATTAATGTACAGATGAATGATAGTGTTGAAATACAATCATTAATTTTAAAACATACAAAACAGATTTCAAGTTATATACATTTTTTATACAGGTTTTCCTCCAATAAAAGACCATTGTAGAACTAGTGTTTTAATGGTTTTAGCAGCTTTGGTCTTGAATTAGAAAAAAATATTATCAAAAAGATATAAGATGGGTGTTCATTTGCAGCTGAAGAAAGGTGGCCTTTAATTGGAGGTGGTCCTTCATTTTAGGAGTCTTTAAATAGAGGGAGGTCTGAATATTAAAAGATATCAGGAAAGTTTATTGCATTTATTCAGAATAGGGGTATTCATAATGAGGTTGGACTCTTAATTAATTTCCAACAAATATTCTTGGTTGATTCTCATAAAAAAATTCACCAAATAATTTGTAAACCAACTGTGTACCACCAGTATTAAACCCCTTCAAAATTTCTTAATTTAGCAAACAATGGCGGGTGGGGTTTCTTGCTCCAAAATTCAGGGGCACAATCAGAAAAATAAGCACATTGATTGAGAGGGGATAAGCATAAAAAAGTTGTAGCCGTACAATATTTTTATGCGTGAAGATGAATCGGAGAACAAAATGCTGCCAGATATCACATAAATGTTAGTTAACCTCTGAATGATAATGAGATAATTGATTTTAGAGTGTTATAATTCATTCGTTTCTGAATTACTATTTTGTTGGACAAGTCATGGATATATGTTAACAGGTAATTCAGTGCTGCAGAAAAGCATAACTTAAATAGATACACAAAAAAACCTTCTGTAATGTATGACAATCTATGTACTGCACATCTAATAAATACGAGCATTACATTACAAAATATTCATACAAATTCAAGCTAAACTAAAGAACACATTTTCAGGGATATTTGTATTTAATTTAATATCCCTTCTTTGGTAGTGTATATTTAAAAAATTCAATAGGTTAGGTTCAATCCAACAAGCAAGGTAAAAAGATGACAATTATTGGACTGAAATTATTATTGCAATTATTGAAAAAAATTATATTCCAATTTGTAGTTATATAATATAATAGGTAAGGCAAGACTTTTTTTTTATACATTGTTTAGTGAACCCGCCACTTGGCAATATGATGATTTTGAATAAACATAAATTTTTATAGCTTGGTTCTCACAAGAGCCCTACTATCCGGATCGAGAGCTAACCGTTAGCGCTAACCGTTAGCAGTATCCAGATACCGCTAACGGTTAGCAAGCGCTATCGGTTAGCAAGTTGAGCACGTTTTATCATCAACCAATCACACGTACACGTTTACAATCTACAGTTTCTTATTGGCCATTTTTTTAGGCCCACCGCTGTTTTGAAATCTCCAAAAAGTAAAATATCTATATTTCTTTCTTATTATATAAATTTGAAGCATTTTAATTACCAAAATTATTTCTTTATTTTTTTTTTCCACCCTCCACTGACGATCTTTAAAAAAATAAGTTCGCACAAGGTTTAAAAAAAAAATCGCCTTAGGTCTGATTTAATCTAACAAGGTGTAAGGATCACACTTAATTATTAGACTGAAATTATTATTGCAATGGTTTAAAATTTTGTAGTTATATACAGTAAAAATGTGTGTGTGTATATATATACATATATATATATACATATATATATATATATACATACATATATATACATATATATATACATACATATATATATGTATATATATACATATATATATATATGTATATGAACATTATTTCTTATAAAGAAATTGCCATTGTTTTGCAAGCTGTCTTGGTTTAATACAGTCTTGATGCATTCACAATTTCAAGTGGCCATTATTGATTACTGCACTGCATTTGAAATTACTAAGTATTATATTTCATGCAGTCAAATTAGTAATAGGAAATGGATTCCAATATCACACAGCATGTAAACAGTCTGTTTTATTATTAATATCATAATATATTAATTCTATAATTATCCTTAAAAAATTACTATTTTATTATTAGTTGGATGTGGTTATTTGGGCTGTACACTTGCAGACGTTCCCTGAATTTATTTGCTCATGGTTTATGTGCGGCAAAATACTGCCCAATGTGTTATTAATGTATATTCTCCCAACATGGAAACCCTGTTATATATCAACATCATTTAATAATCCGTAGACTCATTATTATTATTATCGTTACTACTATTATTATATTATTACGTGATTATTATTATTATATAATAATCAAAAGTACATGATTTAAATAAGTAGCACAGCTTAACGTTACAGAAGAAAGTAAAAGGATGGTTTTGAATAAGCCCACCTCTATTATTGACCCATTTTTTTGTTAATGCAGTTGCATATAAGGATGCGCACGGCCAAGCCCCAATATCGTCCGCCCAATGAAAATGTCCGAAGCAAAACATTTCGCTCAAGTAGATAAAAATAACCTCATATCACCTTATTCATCATCTATTTTGTGATGGAGACCCCCCTCACCTTCAACCCTCCCCTCCCCCCACATTTCAAGATTTCCACATATGCCACTTTGAAGGATTATATACCCGAGAAACCAAGATAATACTGTATAAACTATTGCACATTGCTTCTATGGACTTTATACCAAATTACAGTATTAAATGGTACCAAATGATATACTTTCAGAAGAATGTTTTGGCGACATGTGCAAACAAAACTGTAATTACTCCAAATCTTAAATCCCACAGGAATCTTGCCTCTGCATCACTCGCCTTGGTGTCGTCTTCCAACTGATCATACGTGAAGCATTTTCCGGTTGATACCGGTTTCACTTCAAACCTCCGGCTCTCACAAAAATCCCTCCCAGTCGTATATAATATTCCGATTTTTGACCCTTTTAAGATTGCATCACTGCAACTGTTCCGCATACCATTACAAAACTCCTCACACACCGTGAGTCGCTGCTGGTTATAAAACAAATGCTGATTCGGGGCACAGATGTAACACATTAGATAATTGAGGTATTGTTGGCATTCCTTGGTGGCCCCTTTCAGTGGCTTTACTTTTTTGAATATGGAGATTAGCTCTGGATTTCGGCAACAGCATTGATCCTTGTACCAAGTGCAATTTGAAAGGTTCGGTTGTTCGGTTGGTGCTCGGTTGTTAAAAAAGGTACAATAAGGTTTTTCCTCTTCACAAGAACAATATTTAACCGTGATAAATAATGTATATACGCCAATCAAAAGAGTTAATGACTTATTAACAGTCATCGCCATTTTAACTCTAAAAACGTTTATATTGTTTACTTAAATAAAGAAATACGGAATTCAAGCTAGGCCAAATTAAGGCGTTTATAACCGATGCTAAGGATATGCTAAGTACGTCCACCAAGCATCAGTAAGCACTCACTCGCCTCCGGGATGAAACGGCTAAGATGAGAGCGTTGAACTTATCATTAAATTTGTTCCTTTTCAGCTGTAAAAATGTTCAGTAACCTCAATCATTGGTAAATAGAAGGTACTAAATAGCACCTGATCCAAATTAACAACAAAATTGTAAAAAAACGGTCCACATTCATCATCCGACAATAACTACGAAAGTAAGCACGGAGAATGATAAGTAAGACGACTCAAGGAGGAACTAAATCCTAACCTTCAAAACCAGGTTTGTAATACTCGCTTGGTGGCGCTAACACTTCATTCCAAACCATAGCTTCGGTCCCACAAGTATAATACTGAACTTAGTAGCCGCACTATTTATTTTTATTTTATTTTTTCACCATACAACGAAGGTTGCAACTGACAGAATTATAAAATAAATAATATATATAATATAAATAAATAATGAATAAATATATATATATATATATATATCGACAAAGTTATATCAATCAGTCTAAAACGTGAAAGAGTTTAAAGTTTACTAAAAGTTAATTTAATGAACAAGAAGTGAAGTAGTTATTAAAATGCTGTTATAAAAAGAATATAAAATTAATTTCTTCCAAGTTTTTTTTTATTTTTTTTTTATTTTGAGGAACGGGGCTCAAACGTCTGTTCAACTAATTTTTACACATTCTCTCTCCAGTTCATTGTTTTTTATATTAATTCTCAAACATGATAGATACGAAATAAGAAATACGAAATACGAAGAACTTTATTGCAATCTCTCATTAACATTACAGAATAAGTCAAATCAAAATTGAAGTTTAACGAAAGGGGAGAAAAACATTAAAACAACATCACAAACACACCACAAACACATAAAAAATACAATAAATCTACTATAAGGCAATTTAATTAGGGAACATTAAGTTATGTATTCAAGTACAAAAATAAATAATTTGCTAATTAATTAAAAATTTATATGACATTTTATTTACAATTTAAGTTAAAAAATTATTGCAACAGGGTATCAATAAGACAATTCGGACCGAAACCTAAACCAACCAAAAACCGACTCGCGAAAAATAAGAAGAATAACTCACCTAAAAAAGACCTCGCCAAAGAGGAGGGCCCGGGTGTACAGGGACGATTTATCAGTTATTGAATAAACCAGCATTTGTTATAATTCTGTGAACGCTCGGTTTTTATTCTAGGGAGATAAAATTCACGTTGACACCTTAGGTTGTAATCATCTCTCTAGCGTTAGGCAGAAGATGATTTAGCCTATGCGTTGAGAATTTGAGCTTCTGAATAGTCCCTGCACAACCGGGTGCGCCTCTCTGATAGTAAAGAGATATTTAAAAAAGACCTTGCACATTCGTAGTTAAAACCAGATAAAATAACCCCTAAAGCCCTACGTTGGATTTGTTCAAGTTTTATACTTTGTGTTTCAGTGATACAAGTTCCCCAAACTGGAGTTGCGTATTCTAAAACGGGACGTAGGCCTCACAGAAAAATAATAGCGAATCATACCCGGGACACGTAGGCCAGATCTACGTAATTGTAGATAATAATAATTATGATAATAAGCGGTGACTTTGTGGTTAGGGTGGGTGCCTACCTTCCAATCCCAAAAGTCTGGGCTCAAATCCTGATACATCAGGGTTTTTACTCCTGATAACTAAAAACAAATATTCATTCTATCCCGTAATTTGCGAGTGTATTTGCTGTTGAACAGAACAGAACAGAAAACTGTAAATAAATCAATATAGTGTGATGATTGTTGAAGATAATGATCATGGGCGTAGTGTTGGTGGGGGTGGGGGAGCTGTTGTTGGGGGTGTGGATGTGGAATGGAGATATAGTTCCGCATTCTCAATTTTCGCCCCAAAGCAATCTGCGCCCATGATTGATGATGTGACGATGACAATGACGGTGAAGTGGACGATGTTAGTGTTGATAATGATGTTGATCGTGTTGGCCTATTAATGTTAATCAGGAGCGGCATATATCGTTATTACAGGATTGCTGGTGATGAATACAGCTTGCATTGGAGTGGAGTTTTTTAGAGTTGTTTAGGTGCTTGCCTTCTAATCCCACGGTTCTAGGTTCAATTCCTGGACTTTTTCACAACCAAAAATAATTCCAGAAGTACAAGAAAGTTGCTGCCTACTGTGCTTAGGTGACGTATCTAGCTGGATATTTGGAATGGGGTTGGTGGGGTCACGAAATTTGATGAAGGAGGGGTGCTCGAGGATAAAGTAGAGAAGAGCCAGCTGGCAAAAGAAGCTTATGGTGATTTTATCTACTTTAGTCTAGAAAACTGCGTTCTAATTAAGTAAAACACGTAAAATGGAACCAAAGATCACAGGCATGAGACGACGCGGGAATAAAAGGTCAGAAAAAAAGTATTTTTAAAAGTATAGTTGGCGTGTGTACTTGCTGTTAGATGTAAAGGAAATGAATAAATAAATAGTTGCAGCTGCTAATTTTTCCACATAGGCCTAATGTATTAGCAAAATTTAATAATATCGCTCTTTAAAATAAATTACTTTATAGAGAAAACCTCTGCTAATTACAGAGTATTGTACATTTCTGAACTCACTACAATCCCATCTCTGTCAGATATATTTAATACTATAAATATAACTTTTCCCCATCTGCTTTGCAATCTGCTTGTGTATGACTATAATATACATATTATGTAGACGAGCAAATTTTAACTTCTATAAATGTAACTTTTCTCCATCTGTTTGGCGACAATCTGTTTGAGGATGACTATTAGCAGACAGGCAAATATCTATTAATCTGTTTACGAGAAAATTTTCTGGATTACATTGTATGTAATGATTTAATGACGATGGGAAAATAAAGGTGTTTGTAACCACACACAATGTAAGCCACGCCCCGTTTGATATTTGCATTTGCAAATAGAGATTTGGGTTTCATAATTCTTGAGTTGGCAAATTTTGAGTCTTAGATTGCCATTTCCGGCCATCTAGAGGTGCCATGACCATAAATTTTCTTAAATCAGCCCCAACCATGATGGGGCTTCGGCCTACGTAGTTTAGACCCTCTATCAGTAAAAGTCCCTCTCTGGGCTTTCTCTATTACGTGTGAAAGTACACATGTTTTTTCTTAGTATAATTAATTATGCAAAATATTTTATTATAATATAGGAGTATTGTAAAATTTTATATCCAGCTTGTTAATTTTTTTCACAATTAGCACTTCATTTGCATAAACTGCTCTTTAACATAAATTATTTAGAAGAGTGATTCTAGGTAGCAGTAACCTCAATAATTTTTTTGGACCGAGCTGATGAGACTCAACCATACCTGAAACTACGGCGGTATAACCTGAAACCTTGTAATTTAATATCAACAGAGGCTATAATTCTGTTCCAATTGGTTGGCAAACGGTTCATAATTAGGTGGATGGGCGTTACCGTATGTATTATTAATTTATTGTTTATATACAATTAGAAATATAGGCCTACTGTAATCCGGAAATATGATCCGTCTGTGGACATCATCAAGTGGGATGCTTCTGTACTCTATACGGTTCGAACTTCTTTGTGCCTTTAGAAATCACAATTCTGGTCACTGTGTAAAGAGGTTTTCTATATGCCGGCAAAAAAGGGTATTATATATATTTTCATATCACTAGTCCGTAACGCTAAGTGGGTCTGGTAAATTTGGAATAAATTCTTCCAAGGAAATTATTTTGTATAACATAGGCATCATCATAGTATGCTGCAAGCAGCAAGGACATATATAAATATAAACAAATATGGTAAATGATAAAATCTGTTCCTAAATTTCACCATTGTTTCTATCATTTATGTTTCTGATATATGGCTGGATCTCATTAGAGATATACAAATTCGATAAGCAACAACTAAAAAGTAACTGTAAGTAAACAGCCAGTATATATGGGTTTGACATTTAAATTTAATTTGTAAATGAATTCGAATGAATGAGGTTGGTAATTTATCTTTTCCTTTTCATTCTGTTATAGCTTTGTAATATTTATATTTTATAGTCTAATCTTTGTTTGTTTTGTCTTTTTTTTTCAATTTCTGCATTTAACTTTTTTACTGAAATATTATGAGTATTATGTCAGTTTTTATCATATCATTTATCATATCTTTTTCAGAAGATAATGGCTATCAACAGTGAATTAATGATTGCTGATTATAAAAATGGCAGTTTCAACCCAGCTGAGTTGTTTCCGTACCAGCCTCCAAATTGGGCTAACTGTCTCAAGCAAAAACCAAAGTTTCGAGTTAAGGTTGGTTATTGCTAACATTGCGTGCAGAAATTTTAATTGCTTTGAAGTAATTTTCAATGTAGTTCTTTTGGTACACTGTGGTATACATTTGTACGTATATAAGGCGCCTTGTTTAGCGAACCCTCCGACCGCCGAAAATGGTAATTTTTAATAAAAAAAATGAACATTTTAGTTTTGGCCAGTTAGCGCACCCTCCGCCAACGAGTAAAAGCAAATTTCATTAAAAAAAATAAAATGTTATATTTATTTTTTTTTTATTGCGCCCTCCTCTCCCATGAAATCAATATATAACAATAGGCCTAAAGTCAAACAAAATTTTAAATATCAGTCATTTCTCAGTATTAGTAACAAGAAATAAATCGTTTTTCACAACAACGTAATTAATATGTAGAACCATATGACATTAAAACAATGAATGGAGAAAGACCTCCATTGGTGATGATGAATAGTTCTTAAAGGAAATACAAATCGTCCCCAAATGTAGAATTATCTTATTGACTTGATTTTCGATTTATGTTTTTTATAGCTAATTCAACCGAACACTCCTATTTATAAATGGAACGTGCCTAAAGTGCCTGTTGGATTTCAACTATCAGTGAAACGAGATGATATGACAGGAGTTACATTGAGTGGTAATAAAGTAAGTAAAACTTCAAAATTTTTCATTCGGGCATTTGTTCAATGCTACACCAGCCAATGTATGATGGTAACCACCGTGCTACGTTACTTTTTGCAATACGTCACCCTCACCAGATTTGCATCCTATCCTCCAAAAAATACTAGGTTTTTTTTTTTAATTATTAAAACCTTATTTTCACACAGGAGCTTGTCTCACCCAGAGGGTGCTATTCTGCAAGGCCGTGTTGCAATTGTTAAAAATTAAAATGAAACTTAGACAGCAAAACAAAAGAATTCAAAAATGATTAAAGCGTTAAAAAACAAAGCTGTTAGAGAAGAAAATCAGTGTAAATGAAAAATCAATTTACAAAAATGTTTTGAATGACTTAGCATTTGGTGCATCTCTCACTTGTTCCTCAAGACTGTTCCATAAAATAGCTCCACGATAACAAAGGATTTTTTTTATATAATGAGTATGTGGATGATCAACTTTTAAAATATCATTTCATCTGGTGATGTAATTTTGATTTTTAAGTGAGAAGCGCTCAGTCAGGTATGATGGAGCCAGGTTGTGAAAAATTGTATACATGGTTACAGCTTCATTGTTACATAATTCGTCGTCAATTTACCTCAACTTATTTGCTCATCTTCTCCCAAATAAACTTATCAAGCAGACACACACTAATTTATTTACATAAATTATTATTATGCCACACAGACTCTAAACGGCGTTTAATTCAATCTCGAATCCCTGTATTTTTCTTATGTCAGGCTCGCAAACTTGAGTTCATATTCGGTGAGGCAATTCATCAGAAATGCGGAGCGGTGATTACAACGGGCAACATGCAATCAAATCACTGCAGATCAACAGCTGTAGCCTCCAAACAACTAGGGCTGGAGTCCCATCTCCTGATAAGATCAAACTCTTGCGTAAGTTCACTATCTTCATCGATCACATAAATCTGGTTTCCATAAAATCGCTACACACTGTTGCTACAGCATTTTCACTGCGTAGATGTTCCCATCAGACATAAGAGAAGTTTTTACATTATAACGTTTCGCTAACGATTTATCAGTTATGCGATAACAACATATTTTGACAAATCAAATCAGATGACGTCATAATCATGGAAAACATTAAAATCGTAGTAGTATCAACGATTTTATCGTTTTTCCATGATTATGACGTCATCCGATTTGATTTGTTAAAATATTTTGTTATCGTATACACGATAAACCATTAGCGAATCGTCCTAGTGTAAAAACTTCTCTTATTTCTTTTATTTTCTATATGAACAATTGATTTTTAGCTTTTTTATCGTTATCGTTGAAGTATAAACAGGCCTTAATGGACCTTTCCCCGAGTGTCAATCAAATTTAACAACTGACCAATCAGAACAGGGCTAAGGATAAGGGCATGTCTAACAAGCACAGGTGTTGTCCCACAAACGAACCTGTGGGAGTACATTTAATGCTGCCAAGGGGCAGGGCTTAGCGGAAAAGGTCCGTTGGGAAGGCTACCAAATCATCGACCGACCAATCAGCCTCGCCAAAGGAGTCGGTGGTAGCCTATAGCAATGTTATGGGAACCAGGCTCAACAAAGCAGGCTTAACTCTTGTCTCTCCATCCATATTATGACTTACAAATTTTCATGTGCTGTATTTTTAATTCAGTATTGTCGATTTGAGGAGTGAATCATTTTATTAATCAAAATTGCAGGGCGTAACCGGTGATGTATTTATGGCCCCCTCCCCCACGAGGGAGTGTCACACTCTTCTCCGCCTCATGGTTCAAAAACTGGGGGATAAGCAGCTTCCCCCAGTTGAGCCGTGATGTTCCTGAAAGGTTTACTTACTTTTTTGTTTGCTTATACCAGCGTGATGAATAGATTCAATCATAACGTATGTTTTGAAAATTTAATATTCTAATATTTTCCTTCAAAGATTCCAGAGCAGATTAAAACGGAGGGTAATATGTTCATAGATATGATGGTTGGTGCATCTGTATACTTAGTTCCTCCTAAGCCGTACATTAACACAACCAGAATGGAAAAACTAGCTGAATATTTACGGTAACACTTATTATCATTATTGTTGTTCTCTAATAGTTGTGTAACGTTATCAATTAATTGATTAGTTGAGTGATTGGTTGCCCGATCTATTTTGGTTGGTCTTTAATTGATTTATCATTCACTTGGTTGATTGATTGATTGATTGATTGATTGATTTTTCAGTTTATCATTCGTCTGATCTTTGGATTTGTTCGGTTGAATTATTGATTTGGTTGATTGGCCGATCATTCGGTTGGTTTGTTGAGTGAGTGTCTTAGTGATTGGCCGATCATTCTTTTGGTCTCTTGATTGATTGATTTGTCAATCATTCGATTGGTCGGTTGATTGATTGATTGATTGACTGATTGCATGACTGGCCGATCATTTGGCTGATTGTTTGGTTTGTTGATTAGTTGGTTTGTCCGATCAAATGATCGATTATATGATTAATTAATCTAAACGCCCCACTTTGAATAATCGCTCCCTCGAATAAACGCCCCCTCTTAGTACTCTTACATGGAATACACGCCGAAAGGCGTTTATTTTTTATAAAAGCCCCCTAAATGGCTGTAAACAAATCTAATTAAAGCAACATCACTCTTAACACATTCTACTAACGTTCTACCCCAGTATAATAGCATTATTTCTAAACTAGTTAGGAACAAGTCTTTATGATTAAGAAATAACACATTTTGAAGGTAATTATAATATGCTGTAGTTCCTCATTTACAGTGAAATTAAGGGCGTTTATTTGAGTGTATACGTATTCATTTTACGCAACGAAAATATATAAACCCCTCTCTCGAATAAACTCCTCTCAAAAACTTTCTCCATACGAAACGTTTATTCGAATAAGTAGGATATTTGTTTATTGATTATTTTCGTTGATTGTTTAACTGATTTATTGATTACTTTTAATCATTTTCTAACAGCAAATCACGAAACTTGAAAGCTTATATAATCCAAGCAGGGGGATCAGATACGACTGGTCTCTATGGTTACATAGAGGCCTGGCAAGAGCTTGTTGACCAGGTAACATCCTCTATCATTGTTAAATATATGCTTACATTGTTTATAACTCAGTCTGTTGTTATTTTAAACAATTTTTTGTTCAATGTTTTCTTACATCACTAGGCTATGAGCGTTTTTAAGATTTAAATTCAAATTTATTGTCAAAGAAACATTGATATCTTGTTACAAAAAAATATATATTAACGTTCATCAAAATATCAAAACCTTTGAAAAAACAGGCCTAGTATATTATTATGTCAATTGTGAGAATAAAATTGTTTTAGGGAGTTCTTGAACATTTTGATGATGTAGCAGTAACCGGAGCTAGTGGTGGAACAGCGGCTGGTATCGCAATTGCTAACTACCTCACAGGATCAAAACTCAAGTAAGATAAACATAAGTTGATAATATTTATTTCCATCCGTTCAAATAACAAATGCCAAAAACCAAACGAGGCACACCTGTTAACTACCACTACTACCCCAACTCACTTCACTCCGTCCTTCTTCAAAAACACACAATAACTCGCCCAGACACTTTTTATTTCAAAGAGGGGCACTATTTCCACTTTTAGTGTGGGATTTTGGGGACCCTTTTTTAGAGTCGGCATTTTCAGATTTTGTAATCCGAAATGATTTCACCAAAATTCACTGTCGGTCTACTTTTCACTATACATGTTACATTTGAACGCAGAAGAAACATATAATATTGAAACATTTAATTTTCAAATAATGACACCAAAGAAAATGTGACAACCCTCTTACTTTCCAACCACCACCTACTTTTAAAAAATGGTCCTCATATCCACACCCTACTCCGGGTTGTCACCAAAAATTAATCACCTCATCATTGGGCGCCCTGCATAATGTGTATAAAATACCATTGTGTTAACATTGGAGAATATATTATATGTTTACATTGAATGAAAATAATGGTGGGAAACACACACACACAAAAAATAATATCAAATAATAACGGCTCACCACATTTAACAGAAACGACCCAGAAATAAAAAGAAGAAACATGGATTGTCAAAGATAAATCAATCCGTTCACTTTGCCTCTCAGACATTAGAGGAGGATCCAGGGATTTTCGAAGGGGTGGGGGTTGCGAGGGGGGAGGTGCGTTCGAGAGACAACTCTACCCTAGGGTGTCCGGGAAATCTTTCTTTTCTAGACGCCTGGAAATAATCTATGAGACGTTTTGGGCGGTCAATAATTTGTTATTATTTCTTTCTTTTTTTCCTTACTTATTTATTTATTTAATTTATTTCCAAAAGAGGGGTGGGCGGGGCCGGCCCAGCTTTCTCTCTAAATCCGTCCCTGGACATAATAGACTTTATCATCTAGGCTTCTACTATAAAACGCCCTCCCTGCTTAGCAACAATAAAATGAAATAATAAGACAGTCATTGATGCAATGGCATAATTGTGGTTTTATACTATTGTTTATATTCAGCCATGACATTTTATCCTTGTAACTCATAAAACTACCGGAAATTTGATTTGTGCGCTGGTATTTACATTTTAATATTAAATTGTGCGCTGGTATTCACATTTTCATATTAAATTGTTGATTTTTTTTTATTATTGCTGTTTTATATTATTGCCGTTTTTTTATTGCCTTTTCAGTAAATTCTCGTTTTGCTTAATCATCCTTTCACGTGTTGTCATTTAAGTTTATTGCATTTATAACCAACCACATCCCATAATTCTATTATATAACTTGTACCGTTCTTACTCTTTTTAATTTGGTGCAAAATGTAATGTAATGTAAAAGTTCCATTTATATAGCGTTTATACAGGCCCGTACCGCGATTTAATTTGTGGGAGGTTCGTTTCAGTGGAAAGTGGACCCTTAACTCTGATACGCTGAAGAGCATTGTAAATATATATTTATATTTTATGAAGTTTTGTCTAATAATACCACTATTAGTAGGCCTAGTAGTAGTAATAGTAATAATAATAATAATAATAATAATAATAATAATAATAATAATAATAATAATAATAATAATAATGACGATAATGGTGGTGATAATTATAAAAGATAGAGTAAAAATATTAATAATATCAGAGAAGAATATTGTTCTAAAGCGACAAAAATTGTAATTTGTCCAATCAATATGTTCCCTATGTGTTCCATATGTGTTTGATCCAATGACAGGGGTAGTAATGTGAAGCGCTTAGAGGTTTTGTGCATAAATAAGAACGAAATATTATTATTATTATTATTATTATTATTATTATTATTATTATTATTATTATTATTATTGTTATTGTTATTATTATTATTATTATTATTATTATTATTATTATTATTATTAACGGCTTCGAAGTATGTGAAGTAAATACATGAAAGATAATGTTTTTCTCAAGTTTTATTTTTATGGTACTGATGTATCACACATATATAATTAGATCGCTATTGATTGGTGAAAATTCCTTGATAAATTCTCATGAGAAATATTTGGCGCTTCATTTTGACTATAATGGTAATATTATGATGATGAATCTTACTATATAAAGGTGTCATTTCCGGCCATCAAAGGTACTATTTCTTGAAATTTTTGCGCCTCAGCCCCAACTAGGTTCGGCTGAGGCTGAGGTGGTTTCGGACTCCCGGCTTTGAAGTTATACAGTAAATACATCAAAGACAACAAGTTTTATTTTCTATGATAAATCACACATATTAATTAGATCTCTATGGTTGTTGAAAATACCTTGATAAAATGATCATGAGAAATTTGTCGGCGATTAATTTTGACTATACATAATGGTGATGTGATGATGATGCATTTCACTATATAAAGGTGTCATTTCCGGCCATAAGAGGTAGTATTTCTCAAATATTTGCACCTCAGCCCCAAACATGGTGGGGCTGAGGTGGGTTGACCCTATATCTGTAAAAGTTCCTCTGGGCCACCTCTCTTTCGTATTCCTGGATCCGTCAAAGTTGAGTTATTATAATTATTGTTAGGCCTTTATTTATGATGTGTCTATTAAAATCTTCACTTTATACCCTCAAAACCGTCCTAAAACGTCCAGAATGCACTACCTGCCATGATGGGTCTTCGTCCTCTGGACCCCCCACCAGAGGTCTTGGCCCCTGGACCTACCCAGTGGCGTATCCAGGTTGGCGTGGGGGCGCACTCCCCCCACAAAA